GATTATGAAGGACTTCAATAACAAATGCACAATTTCAGATTTAATAGAAATTATACACACTCAGATGTAATATATATGTATATAAAAGTGCATGCTCTTGATTGAAAAAATGAAATGAAACTCTGTAAATACTAAAATACTCTTATGTTTAGTGAGTATCTTTTTTTTTTAAGAATGTACGATTCTGAAGTGCCATGGACTCTTCTTTCCTTTTTCTCCCCCAATTCTTATATTGAAATCCTAACCCCAGTGTGATAGTATTAGGAGGTGAGACCTTTGGGTAGTGACTAGATCGTGAGGATGGAGCTGTCATGAATTAGATTAGTTCACTTATAAAAGAGACCTCAGAGAATCTCCTCACCTCTTCCAACATGTGAGGACACAGAAAAAAGACTGTTGTCTTTGAACTAGGCAGTGCATTCTTACCAGATACTGAATATACTGGTGCTTTGATGATGGACTTCCAGCCTCTGGAACTGTGAGGAAAGAATGTTTAAGCCACTCAGTCTATGGTACTTTGTTATAGTAGCCCAAATGGACTAAGACAACAAGTGAAACAGTTGTTTGAAATATTTAAAATAATGGTACAGCAAGGTAAATACAACAGATTGAAGATGATTTACAAAATATCCCTACCTCTAATGCTTAAAAACATGCACACACAAATAGTAAATCAAGCAAACAAAATTACTAACAAGTAACAAAGGTGAGAGACCCACTTCATGCATAGATTTCAAAGGGAAGAGTCAGGATAATGAATCAAGTCTTCTAAACCCACCCATGGGTCTCTTACATGTTGAATATATATAACAAAAAGTGATTCATTAAATCCAGATAATTATTATATTTTAACTTAGAGAGAAGTTGATTGAGGGGCTGTGATGAGAGGAAGTCCAGGGAAGAAAAGTTCTCTTGATTCTCTGTGGTATCTCAGCAGAGGCAGGACAAACTATTAGTGCCTGTTATTTAACTCTCCAACTTATAAAAAAAAGAAATAATAATAAATAAGTAGCAAACTATACAATTCATGCTAAAAAATAATCACAGCATACACAAATCATATTTTAAAAACCTGGAAAAAATCACTCCCCCTAAGATATTATACCTTTTTACTCTGTAAATGAACTCAGTAAAAAACTGAACTCAAAATTAAAAACTCAAAATACAGCATTGCAAAGATTAATGGAGTGGCTGAATAAGGAAACAAAATGGAGGCTAAAACAACACTATCATTGAACTAATTAGTACAGTAGAAATAGAATGCATCAAAAGCTATTATCTTGATTTGCAATTAACTTGAGATAATCGCAGTATATTCCAAGTAAATATTAAATAGCAGAAAGAAAATAGATGTGGATGATGAACAAGGCATCCAACACGTGAATAATGCTTATATGTTGAGTAAATAAAAGAAATTCTTCTGGAAGCTGAAAGAAAATATTCTTAAGATGACAAAGTGATTCTAGAAGACCTGAAGGGTGTATTTTCAAAAAAATTGGGGAATAATGATTAACAATTAAACATGTTCTGATTCTGACTATGATTTCGAACTTCCTCATAAAGAATTCTTCAGGAACACATCTAGATGCAAAATTAAAAATTTACAGAAAGTAGGATATTCTGTAGGATTTCCGTGCGATTTACTATCCAAATACAGTGAAGCAGTGTCTGTAAACTTGGAGAGAATGGAAGTGGAGTCCAGGAATATTACTGCTAGCCAAACTGTCATTTAGTTATAGAGAAACATAGAAAATAAAGTGAAAATATAACATTTATGAGTACTTCTTTTGGTAACACTATTTGATATTGGAACTATCCAATAAAATGAAAAATGGGGTATAAGAAGCATCAGGATAGTTTGCAATGTTTGAAGACAGTGAAATAGTAACTACAAATATGAGGAAAAGAAAACGTTTACAAAAATTTTATTCCCAGTTAATCCTTCCTTGAGTATGAAAGAAAAATCTCAAGGAACATAAAAATGTTGAAACTTTTGTTAAACAAACAATGAAAAAAAGAAAAACTACTTGTAGGTGAATTACATCAAATAAACAAGTGAATTAAAATAAAAAATTTAGAAATAGAGGGATTTTGTTTAAAAGCTTAATTTCCTTGAGTGTACATATATTATGTCTAAATCATGTGAATTATGACTATAGAGTGGGATATGAATCTAATAAACCTTGTTAGGGTAAAAGAATTAACATGATTGACCAGAAGTAGGTTGTGGATAGAAGTTAGTTTTTTCTTTCTCTCTCATAAAATTAATGACTAAATTGAAATGTGTTGCCATTAAAAGTCCAGTGTCTTATTCCTGTACATGATATCTTGACATTTAGGCTAAGTCTCTGAAAGTGAAGACTTACCTGAAATTAAGCAGTGTCCTCAGTTTTACTATATTTGGTTTTCTTTTGCTAATGTTAGGTTATTTAATTTAAAGTGACATGCATATCATGACCCCATTTTAATAAAGTGTTTTAATATTTTTGTTTCTTCATCCTTTTTTCCTACCAGCTTACTATAATATATCAATAGAGAATTCTTGGAAAAATACTTATCCAATGATCAGGGTAATTATTTCTAGGTATTTTAGGATGATCTTTTTCTTTTACCTTTTAAGAAAAGTTTTCCACAGTATTGATTTTAAGAACATATGCTATTTTTGTTGAAACAAGATCTTTTTTCTTAAAAAAAACAACTGGTAAGTTTAAAAAAATCTATTTATTAGGCATTTGTTCATGGTAAAAACATCAAAATTTCTGTCCTCAAGCAGTCCTTGCCCCATCCTTAGGAGTTTTACCAATTTTAATACTTAAAAAGCTAAATCATTTGTGGAACATAAAAACAAAATAAAACAAAATGAACAAAAGAGCAGTAGACTCATAGACACTGAGAAGGGACTGGTGGTTACCCTGGGGGAGGGATTAGGTGAGTAGTTGGATGGGTGGGGAGAGTGAGGGCAATAAAGGGGCATAAAAATTCTTAATCATAATGTAAGTTGACCACAGGGATAGTAGGACAGCATGGAAAATATAGCCAGTGACTCTGTAACATCTTCCTATGTTGACATAGTAACTGCACTAGTAGGGGTGAAGATTTAATAATATGGTAACTGTTAAACCACTGTGTTGTATACTTGAAACCAATATAAGATTGTATATTAAGTATATTTCAATTAAAAAAATAACCTCACACAACAAAAACAAAAAACCTAGATGAGAATATTTCTCATGTTTTCATCGTTTGCCTTATTTATGTACATGTAAAAGAAAATCTTAAAAGTAAGTCAATTTTTTGAATTCAGAATTCAGTCATGTAAGTTAAGATCTGATGATGTGGCTACCTTGTATCTGTCAAGTGAGAAGCTTGGTAGGGTGTAAGAATTATACCATACTTGTATGCAAACATGGGTGCCAATATCCTTTATCTTGGCAAAAGACATGAAACTCCAGGGTCAGAGAAAAGACAATTTGTTACAATAGGAGCAGTAAGGAGAATAAACTCTAGCATGGATTTTTTTCAGTAGCAGTGTCTCACAGGGAGATGCAATTAGGATTAGCTGTTGTCAAGCAATGGGGTATATTAAAGGAGAAGAATCTTGACACTGGGGAACACTGGCCTTATACAGGGACTGTTGTTGGTAAGACAGCCCATCGTCCTCTTAGAAGAGAGAGACATTGTCTTTATTACTCTGGAAAGCCAAGCAAATCTGCTCCAGGGAGAGAGATGTCTCTGTCTTTCCTTTCTGGAACATAAACACATTTGATCCAGGAAGACCTGTTATGCACACTACCTTGAAAAGCCAATTTGGAATAAAGTAACTATTAATCCTATTAAAAATGTTTGGATATGTGAGAAACCCCTGAAAAATTAGCACCCTGAAATACTTAGAAGATGTGACTCCATGAACAAACTTAATGTTGCACAGTGAAAGCTATTTCTTGTCTGTTTTACTATCCATATGTGGCTAATGACTGTCAAAAGTTTTTTATTAATGTTCTCTCTGAACTTTATACTCAATAAGAACTTTAAACTGAAATAGTTATTGAAATTTATGAGCCAATTAATTCCTATAGCACAGTGAAGATCTTAAAATCTTAACTCCCCTTTCTCAAGTATTTTGTCAAAGTTACATACAATTAAACTGAATTCTACTGAATAGGTAATGCTCTTAGAGGCACAGATTTTGATGTTTTAATAAGGAACAAGCATTGAAGTTTAGAATTATAAATTTTAAAGCACTCTATAATGCCAATCTTAACCAATTAAATGTGACTTCCTATGTAATTATTACAGCAGATATATCATTATAACAGATACATTTTTTAGTAATGAAGTTTTTGCTCATGTTGATACTATAGAAAATATAGAAGTTAATTAAAATGTTGAACTGTATGGAATACAAATCTTAGGAAAGTATTCATAATATATGTTCTGATTCCTGCTAAATCTAATCTCGGACTACCTCTGCGATTATGGTCTAATCTCTTTGTCTCTTATTATTGCCTGAGTCCAAGTCTTATTTCTCTCTCACTTATTTTGTAATTTATTGTTGCTTTCCTTGCTTCCAGTCATTCCAGGTTTAGTTGAATCCATTTTTTGTAGCTGTAATATTTAATGTTTCCAGAATCCTCCAAAAATCTGTCTAACCACATTTTTATTTCATTCCAGTGCTCTCTGCAATATATTCTTTGTGTAAGAAAAGCTGGACTACTTGTCTATTTCTGAACATATCCTGTGCCTTTTCTACAGTTTTTCTTATCTGAAACAATTTCTTATATCCTTGCTTGCTAAAATAATACTTATTATTCACAGACTAGTTCAAGTTTTTTTTTCTTGGTAATCTTAAAAGCTTTCATGTGACTTTGTTTTTATCTATGGTTCTTGGCTTTATGTGCCTATAGCAATTTTGTGCTCATTTGTAACAAAGTTGTTGATGTTCACGTTTGGTTGTTCCGTGTGGTTTGTAAACTCTTTTTTGCTGAATTTTTTTCTCCCAGCACATCAAAGTCACCTCTGGAGCTCTGCGTCATGATGGCACTGATCTTCAGCAGATCATCCTAGAGCAATGCTACAATTTTGTTTGTGTGAATGTAAGTAGTAAGTACAAATGATTGAAAGCACTAGAGGAGCTTTATAAATGTGGAAGAGAACATATTTTTCTTGATATTGAAATTTATTATTTTGACTGATGAATTGTTATTCAATACATATTTGGAAATTATTGTGTTTTCAAATAGGGAAATAACATTTTCTAATGTATTTCCCATAATTAGAAGAGTGTTATATTTCCTTAGACAGTATTTACAATTTCCTGTTTTGTAGCCAGTATAAAACAGATAAGACTACACAGGTTTGAATTAATGAACAGTTCAAATTTTAAGTAGGTCTAACCTATGGGTGTCCCTTAAAGTTGTTTGAGATTTAAAAATTAAACTTGATAGATATTTTGAATGTGTATATAAAAGTTCTTTATTATTCTCCTTGAATTAACTTTAAATTTATTTGAGGACTTTCAGCTTTTTTTTTTTTTTGCTCTTTCAGGTTGTGACTTCTGATTTTAAAGAAACTCAGAAATTACTGAATGTACTTGAAGTCCATAATCTCTCCATCTTATATCCTATTGTTGTTATTTCAGTAAGTGAATTAATATGGATTTTTCTCTTAGAATGTGTGCTGCTTTCCGTGTAATTCAACTTTTCTATTTAACAGAATTATATCCACTTGAAACAATCCATTCAAACCCAAAATAAGAAACTTTTCCTAGTGGATTCTTGAGCTTACTCTCTTGCTATGATTTCTGTGCTGTCTGCCCTTATTAATGCTGCATTATTAGGTTGAACTGACAACATTTAGGAAACAGTTTAATTCAACTTAGTGACCAATTTCCTTTCTCTTCCTTCATTAAAATCACAAAGTGTATTGCTGAGTTGACTAGTTCTTTGGATGATGTGAAGAAGCTCTATTTAGCATATTATGAGACTGCCATTAGAAAAGAAATCCCAAATTTAAAAAAAAATTAGAAGAAAATTTACTGAGGTTGTTTCTTCATCTCTGATTCATGGACAGCACAAGTAGAATGAGCCCCAGATGAAAGAGAATTCTTAGAAGAATGCCCCATGAAAATTTTGGAGATCTCTTTTCTGTGAAAGACTGAAAGTGTGATTAGTACAAAATTTACTTGAGTGGCTCATTAAACTCTATAGCAGAAGGGAACATCTGAGAGCAATACCAGGGAGGAACAAATTAGAGGCCTGGTCCGCCTGCTGAGGAGCAGTTCTGTAGTGGCAGCATTTTCTGTGGGAAGGGCTTCCAAGCGTGAAGTTCTGGAAACAGTTGCTTAGCAGTTGCTCGAGTTCCTGAAGGTCGGGCCAGTTCCACAGTATGGGAATTTAATTCTTGTTAAGTAAGATCATTATTGCAGAATTTACATTGCAAATAAGTAACTCTAGATTTAGCAATGCAAATAGAAACAAACTGGCGATTGGGAGAGGTTTGACTATTTCACTGGCTTGTTGTATTAGGTTATATGCCCCAAAGATAAGTTCCATGGGTCCTGCTGATTATGGAAACTAAGTTCCACATGTGACTGATCTTAATCAAAATATAGATATTTTCACTGAGGCTTTTTTAGGCATATTATGAAGTGTACCCAAAGCTGGAAACTCTAAGGCTCTAGGATAGAGGTGAGTTCAAAATTCGGTTTCTCCTTCTATTCCCCTCTCCACATTACTTAGAATTCTCATTTGTTCTTATGTCTAAGTGTTAATTTTAAAGCAACATTCTGTGCTGTGAAGAGAGCAAGGGCTTTTATTAGTAACAAAGAGTTATAGCAGTCACCCAGGTGGGAACTTTTGTCACCTTTGAATTTTCCTTCTACGTTTTTCCTCTACCTCTCTCCATCAAATATATATATATGCACACACAGTTTTTAAACTGTTAGTTCTTCTATTTCATTGCTACTGTTGTATCTCAACCTCAGTCCTTTGCATTGTGTCCATAAGTGTTTGAATTTTACCTCCTGTTGACTTCTGTTGAGTTCCATTTCACATATCCCAGTAAATGCCAGAATTTTTTTTGGCTACTTGGTGTCTGTATCAAACTAAAGGGAAATATGGACCATCTTCTACTTAGTGAAGAAATGTCTCTCAGAACTAGTTTGAGAATAGTAGTAGTATAAATTTGTATACTGGAAGTCTATATACTATAAGCACTGTAAAATATTTACCTTAAATTGGAGATTTGTCACTCCCTACTTAATATTATATTCACCCATTACTTTTTCATTGTCGAGGTAGACTTGGTATAGAGATGTTAAGGTTGTTGTTAAACTTAATGGGAAAATGTCACTAGAATATATTGTTAGGGTCCGGGCTTCCGAGGCTTCTCTAGAGAACAAACTACACAGGCATAGAGATGTAAATTCAAGCAAAGTCTTTATTCAGCCAACTAGTTGGGGTCCAAGTCAGCCTGATGCAGCGGGTCTCAACAAGGACCCCGAGCACTCAAAGCCAAGGGTTTATATAGCATTTTCAAAACACTTAACTCATAGTAATTTTCCACAGCTGCACATTATTCTTGCAAGACATACATCCTGGGGTTAGGCAGGAGCAAGATAAGACCACTCCTCAATTGTCAGGGAGGTTCTGCACGATAAGCTTGGTATGTAGGATTAGCTGACCAAGGTTAGCTGACTAAAGGCCACAGCTGCCCACCATCTGGTGTTCATGATTAGCTTGTTTTTCAAGGCCTTACCCAGTTCCAGTTTTTCTTTCTAAGTCACATACTCAGAAAATGGCTTCTAGGCCTTTAAGATGGCTATGCTTATGCTAACTTATTTCTATTCTTACAATATATCTAGAATCTGTATCCTTAGAAAGGAGCAAATCACTGGAAAGGTGAAGTTAAGAATGGTGCCTTCTTGGATTGAGAATCAAGTAAATTACTTCTGGATTTTTGGATTGTCCTATAAGTGATTGTGTAAAGCTTCATCCTTTTTCTTTCTGATTCTACTTTACCCAAATTGGCCAAAAAGCCATTTCAGTTTTCCTGTGATTTAAAATTGACAAAACCATTCAAATATTCCCCAGATGAATAGTTGTGTGGAAAATATTATGAAAATTGGAAAATAAAATAAAAGACTTAAATTTAAGTCTAGGTATCTGAGGACTCATTTACACAGTAGTAAGCAGAAAAAAATACATGCAGACAGATGTATATATAGTGTGTAGATGTGTAATATTCATGGAGATATATATATACATACATATGTAATTGGAAAAGGTGTTATATGTACAGGCAGCTTGGAGGCTATGTTGTGTCTACTTTGTTTCTATTGAAATTACTTTGCTGGGATATTAAACCAAGACAAAAAGGCCCCTTTCAGGGAGGATTGTTTTGCTTTTGTTTTTGTTTTTTTAAATAAGACTTTTGTTAAGCAGTTTTAAATTATGAAAAGAATGGTCAAAGATGAGTGTTCATTTGCTTTCCTAAGCAGTTAGGCTTTCTTCATCAGAAAATAACAAAATGACATCAAAGTCAGAAAAGTACGGCCATTTTGTTTTGTAGACAAGTCATTCAGCAGTTATTGAACACAGGTATTGTCAATATTTAAAAGCCTGTTTTGTCTTGGCCAGGATGTTTTAAGCTGCTATCCTTCCAATGCAAGGGTTCTTCAACTTCTTTCAGTTCACTGAAAGAAAGGAGGGTTTACTAGGAATCAGCCAGATGCAAAGTAAAATTTTGGTTGATGAGGTGTTTGTGATGGTTTTTCAGTAGAGGGACTATCTACTTAAGTTTTTCATTTGCAGTGTTATCCTGTTTCACTCTTTAAGGACAAATATTCAGAAGAAACGGGCTGAAGGTCAGTTTAGCTGGGGCATTTGTTTGGCAAAAACCACGTTCGGTCAGATTCTAAGTGCTAAAAACTGGTGTCAGTCCTACAATATTGATTAGTCCAGCATTGTCTCTTCTATTCTCATGTAGATAGAGAAAAATACTTTGGAATTTCCTGTTAATGCTCATTAATAATCATTGAAAAGGTACATGTGATTTTCAATCTCACCTGGAACATTTATCCCTTGGAGGGAGCTAAGCACTAAAGCAATTAAACAGTTGATGGTGCTGGGTTTTTGGTACTCACATGTATAGCGTAATTAGATTTATTTAAGGTACTACAAGGAGCTTATTGCTCAAATGTCAGTTTCTTCCTGACTTCTATGAAAGTAAAGTTTAGTTTGGAAATATTTAAAATAGGAGGTTTCTATTGTACAAAATTAACTGGCATAAGTAAGAGGAAATTGCTTTAAGAGTCACTTAAAGAAAGGAACAGCTTCACCATAAAGAGTAGAAAAAATAATGGGAAATTTATCTTAAAACAACCAAGATATTAACTAAAATAGTTTTATTGTACTTCTTTTTAGTAATGTATCTTTTTTTAAAATTAAGGTATCATTGATACACAATCTTATGATGGTTTCACATGAGCCACATTGTGGTTTCAGCATTCACCCATATTATAAAGTCCCCACTCACCCCATTGCAATCACTGTCCATCAGCATAGTAAAATGCTATGTAGAGTCATTACTGTCTTCTCCCATGCTATACTACATTCCCTGTGACCTACTATATTATGTGTACTAATTATAATGCCCCTTAATTCCCATCTCCCTCCCTTCCCACCCACTCTCCTCAACCCCTTCCCTATGATAACTGCTAGTCCCTTCTTGGAGTCTGTGAATCTACTGTGGCTTTATTACTTCAGTTTTCTTTGTTGTTATACTCCATAAATGAGTAAAATCATTTGGTACTTGTCTTTACCCACCTGGCTCATTTCACTGAGCATAATAACCTCTCACTCCATCCATGTTGTTGCAAATGGTAGGATTTGTTTTATTTTTATGGCTGAATGATACCCCATTGTGTATAGGTACCACCTCTTCTTTATCCATTCATTTATTGATGGACACTTAGGTTGCTTCCATATCTTGGCTATTGTAAATAGTGCTGCAATAAACATAGGGGTGCATTGAACTAATTGACATGCCCTCCAACAGTGTAGGACGGTTTCCCTTTCTCCACATCCTCACCAGCATCTGTTGTTTATTGTCTTTTGAATGTTGGTCATCCTAACTGGTGTGAAGTGATATCTCATTGCGATTTTAGTTTGCATTTCCTTGATAATTAGTGATGTGGAGTATATTTTCAAGTGCCTGTTAGCCATTCAAATTTCTTCTTTGGAGAAGTGTCTGTTCACGTCCTCTGCCCATTTTTTTAATTGGGTTATTTGTTTTTTGGGTGTTGAGGTGTGTGAGTTCTTTATATATTTAGGATGTTAACCCCTTATCAGATAAGTTGTTTGTGAATGTATTGTCCCATATACAGGATGCCTTTTTGTTCTCCTAATGGTGTCTTCTGCTGTACAGAATCTTTTAATTTCATGTCGCATTTGTTCATTTTTGCTTTTGATTCCCTTGCCCGAGGACATGTGTTCAGGAAAAAGTTGCTCATGTTTATATTCAAGAGATTTTTCCCTATGTTTTCTTCTGAGAGTTTTATGGTTTCATGAGATACATTCAGGTCTTCCACCCATTTCAAATTTACTTTTGTGTATGTAAATAGACAATAATCCAGTTTC